CGATAGCAGAATAAGCAGTTCCAAAGCACAACCTCGCCTCATCACACATTCAGTCAGGTTACTCACTGAAGCCGAGCGTTGCTGCGGGCACTTGCCAAATTACGCGCCAAGCACTACGTCACTCTACATTAGCGCATCCCCGACAAATGGGCCACTTAGCGAGCAAACCGGATGCGGAATCTGCTGCAACGCCATATATATATATATATATATATATATATATATACATATATTATTATTAATATTATATATAAATTATTATATATATATGTGCGTGCGTGCGCGTGCGTGCGCGCGCGTGTGTGTCTGTGTGAGTTTGTGTGTATGTGTGTGTGTGTGTGTGTGTGGAGGATGGTAGACACACAGAGATAAAGAGAGAGAGAGACAGACAGACAGAACGAAAGACAGAGATAGGGGGGGGGGAAGAGTAAATAGTGAGTGCTGCATCGTGCTTGCTACAATCCATCGGAAGTTGGATTGATCATTAGTCTAGCGCGCGTATCCATGCAGCACGTTTGTCACGCAATCTTTGCACAGCAGCCTGTAATGGATGCATATATACACGCGTGACAGTAGGTATAGGCACCCGAGAGTGCACAAGACGCACGCACGCATCGTTAGCGTGTGAGATACAGAAGCCATTGCAGCTTCACGTGCTCACTGTGTTTTACGTGTCCGTGATTACTTGCCAGAATAATTCCTTCAGATTTACCTAAGTCAAAATGACATAACGCAAATCAACCGAATAATTACACTACGAATCAGTGCGTATATGTGTATGAATCAGTCTTTCGCGTGGGATTACGTGGTAGCGTGATTGGCTACATAAAAGGCATCGACAAAGAAATTGCAATTTTCTGTGTGTGGACACCTCAATTTGTTTCGAACCCCGAATTGTAGTCGCGAATTTTAATTTTTCTGTTATAATGAATGAAAATTAGGAAGATATTTTAGTCTTCCCGTAATTTTTCATCGACATATTCACTGTATCACACTTCCTTGGGAGTTACTTCCAGGGAACAAATTTTCATAAGTTATTACCCATGAATAACCAATTCTAAACTTGGCCAATTAGAGTATATAATAATGCACTCTATAAATTAATAATTTCTACATCATAATAACACAAGACGGCGAAATTTTAACTTGATACAGATGCAATCTCGAGCCACGTAAACGTAGCTACGCGGATTTTAATGGCGCGGTAGCGAACATCAAATTTCGCGGTAGAGCGCCATTTTACTTTCCAGCTTCGTTGAAGTGGGTGGTTTTATGGCCAACACGGTGCATCACGCAAAGCCGGTGTTTAATAAACGCCGTTAAAAGGCTTAACGAACGTCTCGAGTTTTATAGGGGCTCCTAGAACGAATCGCCATCGCGAGTGCATGGCCGAGAACCTTTCATCTTCACGTTAATTGCCTTTTGCTCTGCATTTACGCTCGCGCCCTCATATGAGCTAGATGGCGACACGAATGTCCCACGGGCGACGACGGATTAAATTTTCTCCTTCGAAGAACAGAACAACGGCTCATGGAAAATGTCGCTTCATATAACAGAAGAGTCATTACACGTCTACAGTTAGAAACGTTGGTGGACGCACACGTCTGAATTATTACCTATACAGCAACAGTGCATTTATTCGCTGCATGGATTTTCTGTTTTTGTTTTCTATTAGTATACCATCGTATTCTTGCGAAGCAGTAAATACACGACAGTGCACAGAGCTTTAAACCTAATTCGTTTACGCAGAATTTACTCACTCGCAGTGTAAAATAATTTTCACCGGTAAGACGCATAATCTTAGAAACGGCGATGAGAAGGAAGATTGTAGTTTTCCGTGCTCGGTTTCTAGAAGAAAACGACCGTAGCAACTCCTCGTATTCGTACACCTACTGATCAGGGGCGTGTACAGGATTTGTACCAGGGGGGGTCTAACCGTAACCGAAACTTGCGAGCACGCGAAGAGGGGGTCTGGGGAGCCCTCCCCCAGAAAATATTTGAAATTAGAACTTCTTAGATGCGTTTTCTGCGCGAGCAGGGGTGGGTCCGAACCCCCTGGTATGTACACGCCCCTGCTGATATCTTATAGGTATCTTTACCGCAGGCCTGCACGTCAGGTTTCAGTCACCGATAGAGTGACAAATTACACAGGTCGAAGTTTCAAATAAGTGACGCTGAAAAAAGCCTTCAAGACTTCACACGCGTATAAATCGCTCGTGCGTCAGGTTTAGGAAGACTGTCGTCGGATTTTGCGAAATCCCAGCTCGGAGAAAAAACAACTACTATAGAAATGCCACTTTTTGCTACTTCTTTGACAAACGTTATAGAATTGCGAAATGAGCGTAACAATCATGTACCGGGGGCATCCGATCTAAAAACATCTTGATGAAAAAACATGGCGACGTCGGCCTGTCAGCGTAGAAGCTGCTCAGGCGCTGACGTAAAACCGAATTTCACGGTTATCTTTCGTGCGCAGCTAGTATTGCTTTTGCATATTATAGCCTCAACGTTTCGTGCTAAGAAGGCCAGCCACCTCGTGCAAATGTGCCGCGAGTTTCATCTAGTCAAATCTTAAAAAGAACATCGTCGAAACAGACGTGGCTTGGCGCTAACAGCATCTAAACCCATTCGAGCTTTCGCTCAGACACAGATTTTCCACGGCAGCATAAATTCGTACGAACGTTAAACGCGTAAAAGGAAAGACCTGACACTTGCATTATGAAATAAGCTTAGAATGCGGAATTCTTTAACACGGTCCGCGATTATGATAAATGGAGAAATAATCCGAAAAGCATTAGTGACAGAAGCATTGTCAATTCTACCGCGACTAGAAATATGGTGGGGATGCGCCTTTAGATAGCTCGCAACTGTCACAGAATACTGGTACCGTAGTATTAGATACGATTGCAACATATAAAAGAACGCGAATAACCAACGGTTGTAAGTCTAACCAGACATTGTCAACAGTCCAACTCCAAAGCATTAAATTTTACGTCACTCCTAGCTTATATGGTGGGTGGCCTTTTAATTTATCCACCTTCTTATTTTGTTTGTACGTGCATGGTTAATTTCATATGAACCCACAAGGATTATTTTCTGCTGCAGTAATTACTCACTTTTCTCAACCTAACTAGTCATGCGTGTCCGGAAGCCAGCCCTATATACTCTGCCCCCTCATCATAACCCGTGCATATTAATAATTTCAGTTAATACGAATGGTTTTATGAGAGTATAGATGGAAAACATATTGCCAACTGCACGGGTTAAATACCGGGCACCTCGGCGACTACGATAGGACATTGGTACCTATAATATCGAGTTATATAGGAATGTGCTATATATATATATATATATACTGAAAGATTTCTCCTCCATTTATCAATTATAGTGCTTTTATTAGCGGATACCGAGGACCGCACTAAAGAGTAACAGAAACATAATATCCGCGTATAATTGGCCCCGACAACATCAAACACGCTCATCCGAAATGAAACTGTAGTCCGAATCAATAGCTAGCAAGTGTTGTCTATGTATTATCGCAAAACGGATGATGGTGCGATTCCGTTTGCAATATATAGTCAGTTGCAGACGGTTCGATTCGATTACACAAGCTGACGCGGTCACACAAGCCGAGCCGATTGGAGAAGTTAAAATAACTTGTCTTCATTGCGGCAGCCCATTACACAACTAGAAAGGGCAGTTGTCGCCAACTACATGTATCCCCCGTGTTCTCCCCAAGATGTGTAAGTATACGAAGTTTGGTCGCGCTAGGTCAATTAG